TATGTGTGTGTGTGTGTGTGTGTGTGTGTGTGTCTGTGTGTGTGTGTGTGTGTGTGTCTGTGTGTGTGAGACAGCCATTTGGATTGTGACCTGGCAACCCAATTTTCAATATTAATATTTTTTTTATTAGATTTATCCACACACAAAAGTGGAAGTCTGTATCTCATGTATTTTTCAAGTTATTCTGCTCACAACATGCACAAACAGAGACTGAGTGTATTTACCATTTTTCCTCTTCGCTCCATGATGAGGGACAACAGAGCAAACCAAACACATTTTGATGCTAAAGGTTCAAACAAAGATATTTTTTTAATCTGGTAGAGTTGGAGTGTGTGACTCTCAGCTCACATCAAAATAAACTAGTTACATTTCTGTAAGTGATGGACATGTTCCCATTTGTGTGAATTAGAATTAAACCTTTCATAAACCTAATTAAGTCCTGATCCAACCACTGTGAAAAGAACCTGTCAGAAATGAACATACCATGAATGTGGGCAATCATGCAATAGCTTGTGTGTGTTTATTCATAGGTCTGTTATCAAAATACCTTGTAGACTGCTGGAAGAACTACCTTTCAGAAGTTCTCCATTGCATGCACATCTATATCTGATTGTTTTTTAAATCAACATATTTAATGATGGCAGCTATAGTCAACTGACCTTAGCAAACGTAATAAAAAAGAACTTGTCACTTTAACAGATTTTAAGCTACCGTAATTTCTGAACTATAGCGTGCACCCAAATATAAGTTGCGCACACACAAAAAACAAAACAAAAAACACAACAATTTTGTACATATATAGGCCGTGCTTGTGTATAAGTCACGGGTGTCCACATTGTAACACAGAAAGATTTTTTAAAACTTTTAATTAAATACATAATGGTAACATACACAAATACATACAGTACAAGTTTTTTTTTCTGAACAGTGCCTGTAACACAGCTGGTAAAAAAAAAACGTAGCCTTCTAGGAAAAGTCACTGAGCACGATGTTCATCTTCCTCCTGTGAACTAAAACCACTAAAGTCGTCGTCAGTGTCAGAATTGAACAGCCTCAGAAAAACTTCATCACACGTCCTCAGTCTCTCTTTCGTCGTCGAAAAAATACAGTAGCCTAACATGAAGTCATTGATCGTTATCTTCTATTCCTTCTGCTTCAAACTTGTGCTCTGGCTGCTCTGCACAAGCAGGGGAATACCCCCTCCCATTTTCTCCTCCCCTCCCTCTTTCTTTGGTTCAACTGTGACCTGTTCGGTAATTTCATTGGTCAAATTTAATTAGGCCCGCGAAGCGCTGCGAAGGCCTATTGTAATCGCTCTGTTCAGGCCCGAGCTGCAATTTTTTCCGCCAAATGAATTGGCGTTTTGGGGGCCTTAACATATCCCAAAAGTCACCAAATTTGGTGGACGCATCAGGACTGGTGAAAAATTACGTATTTTAAGGGCGTGGCAAAAATCGCAACAGAAACGGCTCAAGAGCGCAACCTGGAAATTTTCTAAATACCCTCCACATTAACCTTAGTTTGTCGGAAAAACATGAAATTTGGTACACTTGTCCAATTCCCCAAGATGCACAGAAAACCCTCTGGCACCAATGTTGTACGATAAACAGGAAGGTGGCCATTTTGGAATGTCGTCCCAATTTTCCACACCTTTTTGGCGGTTTACAGCCTCCGCATTTGAACAAACTCCTCCTAGGGATTTCGCTCAATCGGTTTCAAACTTGGCCATTTTGATCAAAAGGCATGGGGGACGAAAATTTATCAAAACGGTGCAAACCGAAGCATGCTGAAGGGGCGGGGCCAGACCTCAAATTTGGACATTTTGCCATGAAAAACGAAACGCTAATAGCTCCTACACGAAAACTGTCTGAGACATCAAACCTTCAATGATTGATCCACATCCGGTCCCCTGCAAGACTGAATGGCCAAATCATGACATCACTTAAGCCACGCCCCCGACAACAGGAAGTGTAAAGTTTTACGTTGAATGATCCCTGTCTGACCCCTGTTACCTGACCAGCATGATAGTGTGTCCAGTGACCAAAGACATGTTGGTGTAACTTGCTTTCCAACACTGACAATTTGGGGTGGAGCATGTGGGTGTTGCGACGTGGCAAAGTAAGACGTAACGCCGTCGCCATACGTTTGGCTCTAAATTCCACAGTTTTGAACCGAGGAGCACCAAAATCAGTATGAGCGATCATTATCCACCCCTTGAACAGGAAGCCATGATAAGTGGCCAATAGCCTCCGCAGCGCCCCTAGAATATTTTAAAATCTCAGCCCGAAGCCATTTTTTGACCAATAATTCTGAAACTCGGCGAACGTCTGTATCTTCTCAGGACCTATGAAAAAGTCTCTTGAAGCCTTGGTCCAAACTCAACAGGAAGTCGGCCATTTTGGGTCAAAGGGTAGGTTTTGGGCATTTCTAATGACAAATTTTAACAAACTCCTCCTAGGAATTTTGAAAACTTTCAAACTTGGTTGATATGCCCTTAAGACATTGGAGACTAAAAGTTATCAAAAGCTTTCAGTTTTGTTTTGTTAAAGGGGCGTGGCCAGGCCTCAAAGGTTTGTTTCACGCAATAAATTTCCAAACACTATAACTTTCACATTGAAAAACCGAAATGCAACAAACTTGACGAGACTCATCCCTGTTGGATACCCGACGATCCACTGTGGTCATATTTTGACATCATGAAAGCCCCGCCCCCTCAGAACATGAAGTCTTGTCTTTAACTTGGAATGATCCCTCTTTGACCCCATTGCCCTAATCAGGATGATCCTTTGTTAGAAGACAGATAGTATGGTCTGACTTGATTTAAAGAGCAAACCGTTTTTGCTTGAGGATGTGGGCGTGGCTAATTAAGAAGTGACGCCGTTGCAATACGCTTGGCTCTAAATTGCACAGATTTCAACCGAGGTGTACCAAAATCACTATGATCGATCATTATCCGCCCCTTGAACAGGTTTCCATGATAAGTGGCCAATAGCCTCCACAGCGCCACCTACATTATCCTACAGTTATAGCTCAGTGATACAACATCTGATCTGCACCAGATTTATTGTGCGTCATCAGTGAGGAATTTTAGACACAACATTGATGTGCTGGTTTAACATATGACTCTAGTGCGCCCCCTATATTATTCCAACAGTTATATCTCAATGATACATCATACGATCTGGACCAGATTTTTGGTGCATCATTAGGGAGCACTTATACACACATTGGTGTTTTTGTTTTACTTTTGACTCAAGTGCGCCCCCTACATTATTCCAACAGTTATATCTCAGTAATACGTCAAACAATCTGGACCAGATTTTTGGTGCATAATTAGTGAACACTTCTAGACACATTGCTGTTGTTGTTTAACTTTTGACTCCAGTGCACCCCCTAGATTATTCCAACAGTTATATCTCAGTGAAATATCATCCAATATGTACCATATTTTTTGTGCGTGATCAGTGATCACTTATAGACACAATGGTATTGTTCTTTAACATTTGACTCCATTGCGCCCCCTAGAATATTCTAACAGTTATATCACAGTGACACATCATCCGATCTGAACCAGATTTTTTGTGCATAGACACGCTGATATTGTTGATTCATGACTTATCTTAAGCCCGCCCCACTCAGAGAAAAAAAAGATTATTATTGGATGACTCTTCAGGCTTGGCACTGTGTAAGATTTAAGAGTGAAACCGTATTCGCTAACTGTTGATTACCACATATGACATGTTGAAAAGCCTAAAGGAAGTCCTTTACATTCGTGACAAAACAGGAAGTGACAATAACTCAAGTCTGGAAGGTCAGATTTTAGCCAAACTTGTAAGGCTTGAAGCCAGACTCATACTGATATGGGCGGGAGGTGATTGCAAAGTTTCTGCATATGCGCTCCCTGGTGGATGCATGCGGAAATGGCATAAGAGCGTTTGTGACTGGGAGGCGTTTCTGGAGCTCCCGCGGTCACGGGTGAAGTCAAATGTTCGGCGAATGCGCACCCCGGTGAACAGGCGCAGGACGGGCGCCAAAGCATTTGTGATGGCGACTGGGCAGAGTCGCTCGAGCTCCCGCAGTCGCCGTGAGGCCAGAGCGGCGCTTTGTTGCAAGGGTCCTCAATGCTGCTTGCAGCTTTAGTTTTATTTTATACCTTTATTTATACAGGTAGTCTCACTGAGTCATGAGGACCCACCCCTTAAGAGAGACGTGTATTGGGCAGCTCTGTGAGTGCCCGGGTGTGACAAGGCTAAATGTTTTTGGTGGCAGGAAGCTTGTTAGCCTGTCAAAAAAAATAAAATCCATGTTAGCCGCAGCATTGTATAAGCCATGGGGTTCAAAGCCTGTGAAAAAAGTAGCAACTTCTAGACTGGCAAGTATGGTAAATGTTGGGTTGGTAGTAACTGGCAGTCATCCCCAATTCTCTGAGCATTCCTTCCTTGCATTTATATAGTTTGAGTGGCTTTATGTGGTTTAATAAAACCTTCCCAGATAGTGATGAACAATTGTACAACATATTATTTTGTATATTTATCAGCAGCAACATCTGAAATGATGGCTTTAGTATTTATGGATCGGAGAAAAGTTGTAAAAACACACTAAAACTGTGCAAGTATATCTTATGGTTGATATTTGAGGAGCTAAACAGAGCCAAATATATAGCTTGTAAAGGACAGAGAGGCACAACACTGAACCAACCAACCTTTTATGCAGTTTCATGCAAATTATTTACCATAGTGTTCCAGTTGCTGCTATGAAGCTAACTGTTGGTGTTCATTCTCATACAGAGTACTTCCTCTTCCATGTGTCGTAGAATGAAACCCAAAAATGTCCTTTTTGTTCCGTACAGTTTTTCAGCAGCAGGCTGTCCCCGGGCCTCTGGAGCAGCAGAAGGCGAAGCAGGGAGGAGGAGGAGGAATGGGGCCGGTGGCCTGTCAGAACTGCGGGAAGCCCTGTAAAGGAGAGGCTCTCCGGGTTCAGAACAAACACTTTCACATCAATTGTTTCGCATGCAAAGGTAAGAAACGCTCAGATCTTACTCAGACTTTACGCTGTTGACCCACAAACACACAATGATACACAACTGATACAAACACACAATGATAGACAACTGATACAAACACACGATGGTACACAACTGATACAAACACATG